GGACCTGAAGCAATTGTGAAAGCTGTTGAGGAACAAGCTGCTAAGGTGGCACACAAGGTTGCTGAGAAAGCCAACATTGGTTCGCAAGATGAGGAGAAACCTCGAATTATCATACCTGGCGTGGAGACGGGCGAGATGAGTGAGAAGCAAGTGGCTTCTGATGGCCCAGGCGTTGAGAGGACCTCAACGGGAGCATCGTTGGAGCATAAGACCCCGGCGGAGAAGCTGGCCCGTGAGAATGAGGCCTCCTCTCCCGTCTCCTCTCGGGGAGGAGAAGCCCCTTTCCCTCCGGTGGACAGTGCCCATGCGAAGTTTTTGGAGCCCGAGAAGAAGCGAGAGCGCAGAACCACGTTCTCTACACTAGAAAAGCCGAGTTCGAAAGATCTTCACAACGGTTCTCCGGCACCAGTTGGCTCTGTTAAACGCCGCCGTAGAGCGGGGACGAAGGGTAGCCGACGGGGCTTCACTATTGATGATATGCCCACTCGCGCTGAGGCAGAGGAACTGATGAAACTGACCCAAGGCCATCTCGTGCAGTTCCCGTACGATTGGCTATTGACCGAGGAGACAAATGGTAACTGGGGCTACCAGGTGGATGGTGTCGCTCCTCTTTCCATCTAGTAAGTTGACATTATTCAGTCGTATTCGTCGAAGCAAAACCGCTAACCGTGTCATAGTACCTAACGTGGTCTTGAACCGCGATCCGAAGTACAGATACTGTATTACATTCCTATTTTATCCTTGCAGTCAAGTGCATTGCGCTGGAGTTTTCGTTACATGCAATCAGAAAGAGTTTGTTTCCAGTCTACGGTATAGAGGCGTTGCCTTGCCTTCGGGTGCAATCGTTTATTTCTTTCCCTGTTCGGTCTGCCAATTGCGATGGTCCAACATATGCATAGTCGTTTTTATATATCTAATCAATGCTATTATTCTTTTTCAATGGTACATATTGTACAATTCCCGTAGGTGAAACTAAGGTACTCATAACTGGCTCATACACGCTCGCTCACCCAAATGGCACCCCGACATCCTGCCCTTATTACACCGGTGAGCAGCCAGTGCGGCTCGGCACTCTTGGCGTCGTTCTCGAGGGCGTGGTCCAGGTGCTCGAGCTCCTCGTCCCTGATCCTCCGCAGGGTGCTCAGCAGGTCGGTGAACTCCTTGCCGACCTCGTAGCCCTCGGCCTCCCACTGGCCGACCATCTCCAGCAGTGTCCGTATCTGCGCGTTGTAGTGGCCCCCAATTTCCGTCTCGACCGCCTCGGTGCACGCCATGGCGGCCTCGCGGCCCATGACCGCCGTCGACCAGCCCAGCCCCGTGGCCATGACGGACCATAGCGGGTACAGGGCGCTGGGCCGCACGCGGTGCTTGTGGATGAGGGCGTTGAAGGTCTTGAAGTGCTCTGCCTCCTGGTCGTGCATATGGGCCATGAGGGGGCGGAGATGGGGGTGCTTGCGGAGGATTGGGGGGCCCTGGGCCGTGTAGATGAGGACGGCCGCGAGCTCGCCGGACTGGTTGACTCGGAGCTGTAGCAGAGGGATTGTAAGTATATTTTCCCTAATTGTCATACGGCCCCGACTCGGATTGATTGATCATACTGCGGAGGAGAGGAAGTCACGCTGCTCCTGGGTGAGCGGCTTGCGCTTCTTGGGGGCAGCCGTGCCGGGTGCTGCGTCGGACGACGAGACATGCTGGGCCTTGATGGCGGGGGTGGTGGACAGCGACCGGGCGAGGGAGACGCATTGCGGCGCGGCGCACAGCCTGCGTGCTGGGCGGGCAATGGTTCGTGCTGCGAGCATCTTGGTTTTCGAGTTCAATGCGATGTATGCGGCAGAGATCTTATCGCATGCTCCGGCGTCCGCATAGAAATCATGCGATAGCTCCCAGTGACTTAATTGATTTCCGGGCGAAGGAACCCCCCCTGTAGCCTCCGGCAGCCCCACCGATTGGCTCCTCTTTTCCCACCCGCGCTCGGACTAAAGCTTCGCCGCGCAGAACGCTCCTTGACTACAGGGTAGGGCCCCATAAATTTTTTCACCCAGCACTGAGGTAACGCGCGCTGTTGCTGGGCGCCCGCGGCCAATCAGAGGAGGACCTGTGTGAAGGCGAAGAGCACCTTGAACGCCTGAACTCAGATCTTTGCTCATCCAGCCCTCACCCTCAGATTCACCAACTTCATCTCTAGCTTGCATCCGTATCTATCCTCGCCATCGACGAATCCCTGACGCCTCTTGTGACGGCCCGGAATCGACAGCTCGGAACTTAGGCTGGTCCAATCTCTCGGACCTTGGTTCAGGCTGGTCGCAAAGGCTTCATTGTTGCTGAGCGCGCCCCTTTTTATTCCCGACGTACACACACGATGGCGGATCTCGATGAGGATCTCCTCGATCTCGCTGGAGGTGACTCTGGGGACGAGGGCTCGATAGCCGAGAGCAGAGAGCGCTCTGTCTCACCTCCGCCCAAGAAGAAGTCGAAGAACGCGTCCGCGAAGAAGACTAAACGGCGCACTGGAGATGAGTCGGAGGAGGAAGGCGAGGCGTAAGTGCAGTCATCTCACATGTTTGTCACTTCAAGATCATCATCACTGTGACCGTGGTAGTAGCCTGGGTGTACTGTCACGGTTGCGGATTCGCTCCTGGCGCTACCATCACCTGCACGCTTTCCCAGGCCATTGGTACTAACCGCCGCTTGAATAGGTCTTCCGAGCCTCGAAGTCCCGGTTCTGATGACTCTGCGCCCATGGATGAGTCCGACTCCGAGGCTGAGCCATCACGCGCGAAGAAGGACGATGACTTCAATGACAAGTATCCCGTCGAGGGCATGTTCGTGAGCCATGCCGAAAAGGCTCAGATCATGGCGCTGGGCGAATTAGAGAGAGAACAGATCCTCAACGACCGAGCGACTGAACTCAACAATGCGCAGGTGAACCGTCGCCTGCGTCAGATGGCCGAGAACACGGAGCGCCAGGCCGCCCAGAAGCGCTCGGCCGATGCTGCAGAGCTCGACGAGGGCACACGGGCGGGCTCACGGCAGCGAACGGACAAGGACGAGACTGCCATCGAGTCTTTCCGACGGGCTCGGGCTGACAAGAAGAAGCGGAGGGAAGACCAGGAGAGACGACGGGACAAGTATTCTCCTCGGGCACATTCTCCTGGCGCGGAGAGTGACGATAGCTATGGGCGGGCGAAGAGCCGCACTCCGGAGCCAGATGAGACCAAGGATCTTCCTCCGCCAGAGCTACGTGATTACGACAGGGTCAGACTAGGTCGCAACGAGTTTGCCCAGGTCTGCTTCACGCCTGGGTTTGAGGCCTCTATTATCGGGTGCTATATTCGAATTGCTCTCGGCCCTCACCCTGAGACCGGCATCGACCAATACCGCATGGCTCTCATTAAAGGTATGGCATATGTTTAGGGATGCGTTGAATCGTGCATAAGATGCTGACACTCTGTTTAGGATTTACAACTAGCCGGCCCTATGCGCTGTCAGGGCCAAATGGTTCTTTTGTGACGGATCAATACGTCAAGGCCGCCCACGGCAAGTCTTCTAAGGAGTTCCCCTTTATTGCAGCTTCAAGCGGGAAGTTCACAGAGGTATGTAACCCACCCCAATCGATGTACTGCAAGATGGAACTGACACAGCAGATAGGCCGAGGTCAGCCGCTATCAAGTTACGTGCCATAACGACGGAGTGACACTGCCCACAAAGGCGTTTCTCTCTGACAAGATTGATGACATCAACAACCTCATTAACCACAAGTGGACAAATGAGGAAATCAAAGCGCGTCTGGCTCGAAAGAATGAGCTGATGAAGCGCTTCGACCCATCCGAGCGCGAGCGAGTATCTCGCCTTTTGGAGGAAGCCAGAGAGAGGGGCGACGACAACAAGGCCGAGGAGCTGCAAGAGCAGCTCGATAAGCTAGGTTCACAGCGCCTGGCATTCAGGACAAGCCTCGGGACGAACAAGTCCTCTGCGTCTAAGAAGCAGACGGAGCAAGATCGTCTGGCTGAGCGGAATCGCGAAAACCGTCGCCTCAACGCCGAGGCTGTGCGCAAGGCTCAGCTCAAGGAGATGGCGCGGACCCGTGAGATTGAGCAGGCCATCTCGCGCGGTGAGCTGGTCGAGGATGATCCGTCTCGACGTGTCAAGACGAAGGCCAAGTTTGTGCACGACGTCAACGAAAAGGCCGCCAAGAAGGATGCAGCCGACGCTGCTGCCGCGAGCGCAGCCGCCAACGGGACACCCAAGGGGAACACCACCAAGTCGATGCCGTCTCATCTGGCGAAGCTCCAAGAAGAGAGCTTCTCAGAGAAGAAGGGGCTGCCAGGAATCCACAAGCCCCTGATGGACGACGATGTTATCGGATCGCTCGACCTGGACATTGACGTGGAAATTTAAGATGATCTGATCATTGGTTTTTGAGATTTCTGGATTGGCGGAGTAGTTTTCTTGCAGACACTACAGGCATACTGGCGTTCACTTGATGTAATTTAAAAGGATATGAGCGTTTTCGTCGGAAAAAGAACGGAGTGAATACTTGATGGATGTGCTCTTCCTTCAGAGATACTGGGGGGGATTCACGCCACTCTGAGAATACACTATACATTGTATAATAAAATCACGACTATGAAGCCAGCTGCTGTTTTCTTGTGTTGATGTTATGATGATCAAGATAGACTGGATGCTCATGTCTCTTGTAGAATTGAACACAGTTAACTACCTAGACAACGGACAGGCATCGCCTCTTCTACTCTTATGGTCCTCCACCGTGGGCTATTGTCACATGCAAATAGGTGCTATTATTGGAAAGGCATGCTGGCATATGACGGGATAGATTGAAGTGGGCGGTCTAAGTTTGAGTGGTGAAATCCTTGATATCATATCTCTATCCCGATTCCGGGAACAGTCCCGATACAGATGCGCTATGCTGTTGTATGCATTGCTTGCTAAAATCCCCTGCGCTTCTAAACAGTGCTATATATCCTTCGTCCGTCCAGTCCTTACTCCCTCTTAGGACGAGTCTCATCTGTGGGAAGCAAGTCCAGCCTGTTGGTGAAGTATCTGTTGTAATGGAAGAAACCGGTCGACATGACCTTGAACATCAACCCCTGGAGGAAACTCCTGAGGCCGGTCTTGAAGCTCTGGACCAGCCCTGGCCCCTTGGCCGGCGCGACCTTGCCGTCCCGCTCGTCCTCCCACCTCTGGCAGACCTCGAGGAACAGCTTCGGGTCGTCGGTGATGACGCCGTCGATCAACTTCACACCCCTGGCGGTGCTGGCTCTCGGGGAAGCGCCGGCGGGGGAGGCCTCTCCCAGAAGCGGCTTCGTTTCATTCGGAGTCGAGGTGCCAGGGGGGTCGGCGGGGTTGTTCTGCTCAATGCACCACCTCATCCAGCGCTCCTCGTTGACGGTCCACGCGTAGACCGGCCTATCCTCGCTCTGGGCATCGTGCAGGAAGCGGGAGCCCTTGCGGCCGACCAGGGCCCTCTGGAAGACATTGTAGCCTAGGTTCGGGATGCTCAGGAAGTGGCGGGCGTATGGGAGGTACCAAGTGATGTGAGCGACGGGGTAGGTGGGGAGCAAGCGACGGGAGGCTTGGATGTAGCTTGCCTAAAACGGTGGAAAAGGAGAGAGAAATCATGTAAGTAAATTGTGTTTCGAAGAGAGAGGAGGGTTCGGGGTCTTTTTCTGGCCCCCGTTCGACTTACGTTCCAACAGCCCAAAACGACTCGTTCATCCCACGGCTTGTCCTGTGTGGGAGGAACCTTTTTCAACGTGTCGGAAAGAGCACCGACGAGTTCCTCGGCATCATCGTCGATCTGTGAAAACAAGTCTGGTTAGTGACTGACTACGCATCTCTGTGGTCATATCAGGATACACCTCCACCACTGCCAAGGCCTCCTTCACGTGTGAAATGAACGGCGGTGGGCAAGGGAACGGCATAGAACGAAAAGAGGCCCTCTGGACCAGGCCGAAACTGGAAACATCCGCATGGCTGCTTACCTTGATATCGAGTAATAGCCAAATCTCCTCTCTTCCGGGTGCGGCAAGCCACTCCAGCAGGTCACTTAACCTCGGCAGAGGCTGCTTCGGCTCACGCACACTCTGGAGAGAGGAGAGATAGTCCCAGTTACACTCGCTAATGCGCTTGTCCACTCCGTAACAGCGCTTTAAGCTAGGGTCCTGCATAAGTTCGCCATGGTTAGCTCTGCGTATATATCACAAGCTAGAGAGACAAGATGTGCCGAATAGAGTACGTGACTAAATGGCACGTGGTTTGGGAAGAGCTGCAAAGCCATACCCATCCTATTCCCCTTAATCCAACGAGAATAGGAGGTTTAGTTTAGGAAGAGTAGGAAGGGATAGAAAGAAGAGTGTGTGGAGTAGGAAAAATAATGAGAGGTCAATTACATGTGAGAGAACAACAACACCATCCTTGGACAGGTGCAGGTCGGTTTCGAGGGCATGGGCGCCAACCTCGACAGCACCCTTGAAGGCAGCCATGGAGTTCTCCGGCCATGCTGCCTTATAGCCCCGGTGGGCTATAGTCTGGGGGAGATAGCGGCTGGCATCTTGCCGGGAGCGAATGGCATTGGCCCATCGAGCTGAGAAGGTAGATGTGAGCTTGGCAAACCAACCCTGATGTTACTCCCTGCGAAGTGGAAATGACAAACGCGGGGGTGGAGGAGGGTATGGGAACTTGTAGACTGAAGAGAGAGGAAGTGACTGGACAAAGTGGCGCTTAGATTGGGGCGAATAGAGGAAGACAAGTTGGGATATAAGTCATCTAACAGGCTAAAGCAACGGATTTGGGTAGATGAAGATGTGCAACCCACTATCTGGGGCAACGACGGATGAGATGGACAAGTGAGTAGTTAGAAGAAAGACGGCTATTACCTTTGGGAACCGGGCCTGCCGTTGTTCCAGCAGTCATCTCGGCGGTCTAAGGGAGGTATGTTTCGAGGAGGAGTATAGTCGTATAGGTAAGGTAGGAAAGACGAGGGCTGAAGTGAGCTGGTTGCTTGACGGTGCTGCAAGTCTGGCAGCTATAGGAACAGTACGTCCGCGGATCTAGCCTACCGATGATTCGATCTATGTCGGTATGCTAGATGTAAGCATCTGGCAGCCCGAGATGATCTCCATGATGGAGAGGTGGGTTAGGTGAGTGTCACGGACATAGCGGAGTTTCAGGATTACATGGCGTCCAGGTGCAGCATTGTCCGGTGTTAGGTGCTCGGGCTGGTCCATGTGCCGTCTTCACTGGACGACAGCGCTCAGGTGCCGCCATCCGAGTGTTTAACAGCCTGGAACGCTCAATTCTGGGACCGTTGGTTGCTCCCGCCCCCACATGGTCCAGCAAGCGCCTGCGATCCCTACAGCTGACCCAAATGTGTGTAGCGCCTGGCAATAGTGCTTCCAGGTGTCTGTTTAGCTGGCTGGTCTGCACTATAAACGCCACGCTCTACCGCCGGGATGGAGACTGCCTGGCCGTTGGAAAGCGGATCGACAGGACTCTTCGTTGGTTACGACTTCAGCCCAATTCTCCAACTATCCCCAACTATCCATCATCATGTGACGCTCACGTCATTTGCATCGGTCGCGTCAACATGCGATCCAACTGTCGGCGTGGACTTTACCCCCATGAGCTCATCAATATACAGATACGCCTCCATAGCTGAAGCGCAAGTTGGCCCACGCAGCTAGACTTTGATATGCACTACTAGGTAACGACGAAGTTGACTCGCAGTTACCCAAGTCTCTTTGCAAGTGCTGGTCTCACATCAGTCCCAGAAGGGGAGATTGAACCAGGACCTCAGACGCTTCGGGTTATTGCGTCAGTTATAGCTTTGATTTCCCTTGGTACATGTCATAGAGATCAACCGTCTCTGAGCCAATGCTATTGCCGTTTGATTAGGTCACAAAGACCAAAACTTGACCGGAAGTAGGCTTGACGCCCCTGTCAATAATATCATAATGGCGGCCTCTTGGTTTGCTCTGGCTTCGCGAATGAGTTTTACTAACCACTTTTCTTGTATTACAGCAACGTCCTTGTGTGACTGTGCGGTCAAATTAGAGCCGCACCGATACACAAAAACGTTGCTGGTGATACGATTGAACATTCTAGAAGATATCCCTTCCACATCGCCAAGACGTCATACTGTTAATAATTTGGCTTTAAAATATTGCTGCCGGTTTAGTATTCAACTTCCCCATCCCAACACAGTTCACAGTACAATTATGGAGTAATGTGCACCTTTGATTTGTTATGCATTGCTTTCCCATCGACAAGGTATGTCAGGCATGCAGCATCAGTGCTTGTGGGGGCGACAGTAAGTATGCTGCAAGAGGGCATCGCCAGCTACGAAGGATTCAGGTCTGGCACCGGGGATTTAACGTATGATTTTATCTGATCTGGCAAGTCCCCCCTGGTCAGAAGGTAAGATGATGCCTCTGGGGTCTGCCTTTGCAGCCGCAATGGAAGCGAGTGTACTGCGGCTCCGACGTTTCAAGTATTTGGGATTGGCTGGAGTTCGAAGCAATGGGAACTTATGCAGCCAGCAAGCGAGCACGATCGATTGTAACCTGCTCAAAGCCAACTGCTAAGCGAGACAGTTGCAACCTTGAAGATAAGAATGCTGCAAGCATCATGGGAGCATCAGGTTGATCGTTGTGCTCTTAATACGACCACTTAATCGACCCAGTGCCGGTATTCCGCTCGAGGCTAGTCTTTTCCAATAGGTATCCGATCAACAATATTCATGCAGCCAGGAAGAGGTGTGGCATAACTCTCGGCAGGCGACATGGGTCTTCTTTCCTCTGTCAGCGGAATTACACGCCCATCTACCCATCCAGAACCACCCATTATCTCGCCCTGTTGCAACCCAAGACAGAATTCTGATACGCACTGATTCAGCTGCTTCGATTCGTCCGAGATACCACGAGGGAGGATTCACCTATCCGCCCTTACGACATGTACGGGGCCGAGAAAATCAAGGGTCACATCACGAAACGAGAATATGCGCTCACAAGAAACAAATCCCTTTCCCCAATGACATCCGCATTTTCCCCTTCCCCTTCCCCACGCTGCCAGCATGAATGTTTGCCCCCATCTCGCCCACTCACGTGGCCCGTCTGCTCCCCCATCCTATACTGGAGAGAAGTTAATGCCCGTTTGCCCCAGGGGTGCGCCGTGTCTGTACTCTGTATGCATCTGCAATGGAACCCATACCAAGACCCTGCTATTGCACATCCATGAATCATTCCTCTCCCGGACGTGTGCCCTGATGTACAGGCCGGATGAAGCTGGTCAACGCATCATTCTCGCCCTATGCGCACCGTGTTCGCTCCTGAGAGGTCGAATGTGGAATATCCCTCCCAAGATAGACGTACACCCTTTCATCGCCCTACTCATCGCCCTGTTGTATGCCCATGTGTCTGTCGTTCCGTCCCATGCAAATCATAACACCATCGCCATCACGCCGGGGGGTACGGGTCCTCGTGTGATGTAAAGATTTTTCTTTCACTTTCATTCACTTTATTTCTCACACCTAGCTAGCCTGACTGCATGCTCAGCCGTTCGTATGCATCCTGCCCACTAACATACACGTAAACCCGTAAACCAGTCACCCGATTCCAACCGCCTCACCCCCGTAGCACACACGAGAGAACATATGCCGCCCAGGGTCTCTCCCGCCCGATATACACCTCTGGCACGCCACAACCAGCAGACATCTCTCTCGCCCTCACGATAATCAGTCCTGCCCTGCTCTGCCCTGCCGGCTCCGGCCCGGTTCTCATCCCCAACGTGCAGTCACGCCATTACTCCCCGAACCAGACGAGTCATTGCCCTGCCTATACCGTCCTCCCGACCACACCACCTCGCGACTGCTTTCCTCATCCCCCACATCCCCCCCATCCTGTCTAGACTTAGGCACTCCTGAACCTTCTTCGTGCAGCTCTCATCGGTAGCGTGGTCTAGAAGGCTTCGCCGAGAAACCTTGACTGGTCTCCTCATAATCACACGCTACAGTCAAGAGGGGGTGTCGTTTTTTAAGCGTAAATAAACTTTGTCTTATTTTAGGGGCCTAAAGATTGCTCTCGTGCTCTACCTTCCAAAAGAGCAAAAACTCATGCATGCCTTTCTCAATCTTGTATGCGGAAAGGAGCACCAAAGCACACGTATGTAGCAAAATCCACAAAAACACACAAACATAGGGCAAAAGAACTTGTCAAAATAGATATAAAAAAAGATCCATAAACCGGATTTCCCTTTCAAGCTCCCATGGATGGTATCGGGAAAATAAATATGATCCAGATTTGTGCTTTCCTCCCATCCCATCCCATAGATAACCAAAGATGGCGTATTAGACATGATAAAAACCCAACTAAGCCTCCCAGCCAAGCTGTCCTGTGACATCAATATGTGTGTAGTACTCCTATTCAAAATTCAAGCAATGCCAGATGAACCCCGGGACGGCTGCCTTGCCATCCCCCATCCCATAACGCGCCAAGAAAAAGACTCGTAGACGAATCGCATGCCCCAGCCCAAATATTCCCCTTGTTGAAAAAAGATGAATAAAAACAAAAGCTATGCCCGATATGTACCATAAACCGGTTGTCATCAAATATTTTTGGCTTCCCATTTTTAGAACCCGTTCATATTGTCCAGAATATATCCTTCATTATTCGTCGTGTTCGCTGTCATCATGTTGTTACCGTAATCCACACTTCCCATGCTAAGCCCCAACTCCGAGGGGGCGACATCCTCTCCTGAGGTGAGGCTCTCATCACTTAGGCTGAGGACGCTTTGAGGCGCCGCTGGCCCCGCACCGTAGTCGCCGATGTTGAAGCTCGTCAGATCCCAGGAGTCGGGTGACCAGTCGCTAGGTTGCTGAGCTCCCGTCGATACAGGTACGTCGGCGTGGAAGCTCTGCCCACCGTAGATTGCATCGTAGACATTGTTTAGTCCTCCGTCCATTTGCCCGAGAAGCACCTCCCATTCGGCACTGGAAGCAGGTGAGGTCATCTTGACTGGTAGTTGACCGTTGACCATAGCTGGGTGGCTTTGTTGGGGCATATTTGCAGGAGGGTGCATTCGGTTGCGAGATGGCGAGATGGCTCTCGACTCATTTTGGGTAGTTTTTAGTGAGAGGTAGTCGAGGTTGTGACGCGAGGTTGCGGTTGAGGAGCTTTGTCGGCGCTTCGACGACTTGGAAGGGTTCGAAACCCGCTGGCTTTGCTGGGCCATGACGTTCTCGGGTATTTCTGTTGATGGGCGAGGGCTGGTGTAGAAGTCCGGTCGCTGGCCAGCACCACTGGGAAGGGTCATCCGTCTGGCTCTCTCGTGGTGATCATGGAGATCGCTCTCGCTCTGGGAAGCCTCAGGAAGTCTCCCGAGTGGGCTGTAAACGGAGGGCTGTCTCAGGTGGGCAACGGAAGGCGAAGCGCGTTGCGAAGGAGCTGGCATAGAAGCCTGCCGGGGCGAGGTCTGGATGGCTGGGCTGGTGGCAAGAGGCTCATCGACTGCGATGAGTTTGCCGGCAACTCGCTTGAAGTCCCAAGAACCGGGGGCCTTGGGGCGCTCGACAGTCTTGATGACCGAGTTAATCAGACGCTCATACTCTCGCATGATTCTGCTGTCTGGCTTCAAATCAATGACCTGATACAAGAGAGTCATGCCACAGGTGATCAGCAAGTCGGTCTTGTTGAGGCAGAATGAGAAGTTCATGTTGCGCTCCTCCAGGAGTTGAACGATCTGAATGGTGTGCTTGCTGGAGTCGGCGATAGCCATGAGTGCGGGTGCTGCCTTCTGTCCGAGGGCAGAGCCAACGGCAGGGCGCCAGATAAGTGTTCGGATGAAGTTGTATGCCAGGGCCTAAGTAGTCAATGTTAGGTGCTGTTCTTGTCAATAGAGGACCAGGGTATACGTACTAGAAGAGGCGAGCGGCTGCCGGTCACATCTGTCGACGGCTTGTCTTGGACAAAGTTCAATCGCAGATGGCCGGGCAGCTCACGGTACCAAGCCTCGAGGTCAGCCTCAAGGGCCTCCATCTGTTGAAGAGAGAGCTCATGTGTTGAGGTTGCGGGGTAAATCTTTTCCAAGACGCGAGCAAGGATGCGGGTGGCTCGGAACAGGGCGAGTGCGCTGGAGAGACGAGTGAATTCTCCAGGAAGGGTTGGCTGGAAACCCTTCTCTGTGACGTACTCATCATCAGTGTCGGTAGGGTATTCAGCCTGAACATCCTCTTCCTTCAGGAGCTTGGGCAGACCGAGAGTGGCGGCGGTGAAACAGTCAAGAGTGTACAAAGTCCAGAAGACCTTCTTTCTTGTTTCAATGGTCAAGGCACCGAACGAGAACCGCTTCTGGCTCTGGTGCAGACCGAGCCTGTGCGAAAGACCGACAGCGATGCCCTTGTAGTGTTGAAGACGCTTGTAATCAGCCCTCATAGTGCAGTAGATGAGTGCAAGAATGAGGCACTGCAGTGTGCCCATCGTGTTCTCCATCAGGATCATGTCCAAGGCCTTGAGCCACTGATATTCACAAGTAGCCACTTGCTGCATGTCGGGATTCTCAGATGACAACCCGGCAATGCTGAAGACAAGATACAGCTGAGCTGTCTTGTAATTGCACTTAATCTTTGTAGGATCGGCAACGAAATCCTCATAGACATGTAGGAATGTGGGCTTGTGCAGGACTGGGAAGAGTGGTGCCCATTCTTGGAAGTAGACATTGACACAGCGGTCTGAGAACAGGCGCGGTGGGACAGTAAATGTCTGGTCCACAGCGCCGGTGACGAGAGGAGGAGTGCCTTGAATGTGCAGGAAGGCTTCAGGGTGGAAATCAGTGCACTGCTTGCCAGTCTCCTGCATCTTGCGCTTAAATGCCTCTACACGAAGAAGGGGAGGTTAGTAAGGGAGGGTGGTCAAGATGGCTTGGATGACTTGGAACGACGTACCAATAAATGCTCGGCCACTTGATGGGCCCATGAAGTAAGAATCAGAGTTCTCGACGCCGAGTAATAAGGGTGATGCTTGGATGCGGAATGTGTCTTCCTTGGCTGGCGGCGAGTCCTTTCTCGAGTCTGGTGAGGCCGAGGGTGAATGAGATATCGAGGGTTGGCGGTGTGGGCTCTGGTGGTGGTGGTTTCCATGCATTTTCGACAGCATGTCAATCTTCTCGTCCTTCTCGTCCAGTAGATCCTTCAGCTCCCGAACCTCGCCCTCCAAAACTCGTACACGCTCCTCCAATGACTCTGTGTACCCGCGAGGGAACGCCCGCCGGCTCAGCTTGTCGCTTGTGCGACACTCGAAGCCGACGTTGGCGCATTGTGTGCAGGTCGGGCGGACTCCATCACATCTAATCTTCTTACTACGGCAACGGTCGCAGGCCTGGGCGATGCGGCTCTGTGAACTGTTGCCCACCTTGATCACCTTCATGGGTAGGATGCCAGGCATGTTGGGCGGTTGGTGGGAAAAGAGATCCCGGAAAGAAAAATGAAGGGGGCGCGGCTCGCTCGGATGAGGTGGATGATGGTGTGCCTTGCTGAGTGTCTGAGGCAGGTTGATGAAAAGAAGTCGAGGTTTGGGTGAGAGCGGGCGTGGTAGACTCTAGCAGGAAAGAGTGATATCACGTAGTAGCGCAGGTCACCAGCAGACCATGGCGGGTTATAGAAATTCTCCTGGGCAGGCTGAAACCGCTGGGAGGACGAACGCAGTTGATAAGGGGTATCCTTGGTTGAGTCGCAAATAAAATAAAAAAGAAAAGTCGTCCTTGGAGATATTGAGTTTGAGGTCGCGTGAGAGAGAGACAGAGGAAGGGGGGTGGGAAGTGGTGGAGGGGGAGAGGATGGATGAAATAATGAGCTTCGCAGATGTGCGCTGGAGAAAAGAGAAGTGGTCTGGGGGAGGGGATTGGGGGCAGTCATCATTGCAAAGGTCGCTACTGGCTCAGCGGCCAGTGAGCCTCCACAGAGGGACCTTAGAGGGAGGGGGGGCGTTCCAGGCCCCAGACAGAGACTGGGGTGGGCTGAATCTGGGGGATGTCGTTGCGGTACGTACCCTTGCACGCCCCCCCGGTCGTTGCCTCTCAGTCTGGTGCCTGTAGGTACCTCTAGTGAATAATTAGCTGGCTCTCTCCATTTTAGGCCCTAGCTGGCGCTGGTTCGCCCATCTGGTTTGGGAGGGTCGGCTGATATCGGACGCTGCACTTGGGATGCCATTCTGTCGACGAACGAGACTGCGTGAATTACGCTCTTACGTCTGTTCATTACCTTCACCCGCATTCTCGCTCGTCATCCCTTCATCCTCTGGGGACAGCGACCGCGGCAACGAGGAGGCTAGCGGGGAACGCTGCGGGAGCGTAGCCCAACCCCATCCCCATATTGCGGCTGCCAGTCGACGGACTAACACGCCGAAATATAGCGGGCACACTTCACCTTCCACCTACCTGGCCGTAGGTAAGGTAGGCATGTAGGAATGCAGGCCGGGACGTGGAGTGATCCTGGGCAGTGCCTAGCAGACCGACCAGAACAGGCAATGGCAGGCTAGATTGTCAGACAATATTGCGATCCAAGATCGTACGACTTGCTTCCTGATGTGTGCAACCCATCCCAACTCGCCGTAATCATGATATCCGGGCCATGCATTTCTCTGCATTGCCCGTCCATAAATATGGGATCTTGTTATTATGGGATCGTATCATTCTCTCCAAGATGCAGATTGCGGGGAAATCCGGGGCAGCTGAGCAGCCACCGTGTTTCGCACCGCCAAAGCTGGGCAGACGAGACTATCTCGATCTCTCGAGTCATCGACCGCCACATCTGCGAGTAGTCCTTGGGGACCACATGGATCTACCCATTTCCAAGAATGCATGGCCCGCTAGCTGGTAATCCGGGGCAGCCAACCATGCCCGAGGTGGACTTGGCTTCATCCATGCTGCCCACAACGGACTCTTTGGAGATGCATCCTAGCACTGCCTCTAGACTACAAGTTGCACCTCCTTTTCCGGTTTTACTTCGTGCTCTGTGGGCGATTTCTACAGGCACTGACACGCGAGCCCTGACATAGTGCCCCTCTGATCTGTACCTAATTAAATGTGTCAAACCCGGGGTCTGGTGTTCTAAGATGCCCGGCACTGCGGAGTAAGGGAATCCTTGCTCTAGGACTGGTTAAGGCCCTTTTCGCATCTTTACCGCCCGATGATTCAGCCATTGGGTCCAGCCCAATTCTCAATCCGGGGATCCGGCACCAGCAGTGTAAGCTAAAACGGCCAGCTCGCGTGGCTTCCCAGAGACTATAGAGCGCCTAAACACACATACACAATTACAGATTGTCTGGGGAAAGGAGGGGAGTTGTTCGAACCTGGCATGACTCGAACCTGACGTGTGACTCGAAACCACAATCTCATTAGTCTATCATTCCTACCTAGTCTTTATGATCTTTATGACGTTCCAGCTTTGACCAGCACCAGTCCCCAGCGCCCCTTGACCACTGATCCCCCCGAGGATTAAGGTCTAGTGCTATTTAGTGTTATTGACAGAACGCGGAGCCGCAATGACCGGGGTTTTTAGCTCCAGATTAGGGGCGTGCAACTGGGCCGCCGGTGACATTCGCCGAATACATTGTCAGACCAGACCAAGGGCGTTATTACTAGGACGAACGGCCTTGAGGTAGCTCACAGATCTCTCTCGCCCCTTGCCTGTTTTAGCACGAGATGTGAAAATGAAACCGTCTCGCCATGAGGTCGGTGAAGAGTGGGATGGCCACTTCCCTCCCCCTAGCGCCTATCAGGGCCGCAATGTTTGCCCACCACCCGTTCCCATCCCCACCTGCTAATGCACGCCTTCTCATCCGCAGCCGCAGCCTAGCAAGCCCTAGAAAACATGTCTTACATTGAATCGAGTTACGTCTGGCTTTATGCCATGGTCAGGTGTTCCCCCTCGACACGCTGAATCAATCCTGTTGACTAAAAAAACAAAATCATGGGGGGCGGGTGTCGTGCCCTGAGTAAGTCAGAGCTATGTCATTTCTGTTGATCTTCAAGAGATCGAGAAGCAGCGATGGAACCCCAGCACACCACGACCCCTTACTCACTTTCATCATCGGTGGTGAGTAAGTAGTCTCCAATGTGGGTAAAGGGCCCAAATTGACCCTGCGGATTGCCCTGCGGATTTCGGGACCCGACTGGAGTAGTGTGATGTGTGTGCATACAGCGAACACCCAATGTGTTTTATTGCGAGCCCGTCCAGCACAGGCTCTGGCAGAGCAGTGTACGTAGGGCCATGACGACTGCTAAGCTTGTCATGGGCAGCACATCCTTGCCAGGGTCTGGGCATGGATGTTGTGGTAGCCATGCGGAGTTGCCGATCATCCGTCCTGATTGGCTGCGGCTGCCATTAAGCTAGCCCTGTCCCTCAGCTGAAATCCGGCTCCTCATTGGTCACTTGAGCCGACGGTGTCTCAATTGGGCCATCTTCCGTCAACCCGAGATACACCCTCACATCGTCTTCTAGAAGCAGGGCCTCTTGCTAAAAAGTTGCCGTTAGCATCATCAGAGTCAAGTAGCTGAGAGCATGTAGAACTAGACGGGATGCAACACCCTTCACCCCGCAATCCTGAGTAGAGTGCTGGACCGTTTCGTAGAAACAACCCGACAAAACCCCCTTTTCGTGCAGGGAAAAGGGGGGGGTGAAGAGAGCTAGTGGTTTTCTCACATCCACTCGCCTCCATCTTGAGCTCGAGCTGGTGGGATCCAATGATTGGGCAGGGATGCGCTTACCTGTTCTGCTAGAGACGCCACGGCCTCTTCCAAGAGCGAGCACTCCATCTCGCGCAGTGTCGCAACGATCCGAACGTAGTCTGCTCCACCTGCCTGCCTCGAGCTCGCATCGTGTTCCTGTTCAGGGATGGGGCTGCTTCGAGTTCGCTCCAGCTGTGCCTCGACCAGCTGCTGCAGGACGGATACGACCCTGAGTTGAAACACAGAGTGAAGATCGTGCGTCTGGACGTGCGACTCGAAGTCGTCAATCTTGCTCGTCACATCCTCGTCCTGCCAGAAGACTCTGAGCTCTCTTCCCCCGGCGTTGTCCTGCAAGAGCTTGAACTCGAGCCCGTCCTCCTCGTTGACGCACATCAGGTAAACAAAGGGGCTATGCCAGCTCACGCCCGCCTCCCCCTTGGCCCGAGTGAGCCGCACTAGGGGCGATCGCCCGTAGACGTGAACCTTTGCCTGTGCCAGAGGATCACTGGCCAACGGATCCAGCGCCAGCGTAATCTCCTCCTTGGCCGTGCTCCTGTCGATGAAACCGTAGCTGAAGAGCATCTCCGCGGCCGACTTCGCCGCACCGTAAGAGATGGTGACTTCATCCCCACAGGACGCAGTGGATTCAGGTCTGAGCGCCAGTACCACCTCTCCGTCGGACGTCTCCTCATAATAAGCATTCGGGGCGTCTGAGTGGTTAGCCATGTCGAGGCATGGCACCATGCTGTCTCCTGCGTTCGGGAGCTCGAGACAGCGGGATCGATACCACGCATCAACTAGTGCCCAGTCCTTGACCGTGATGGCGTCTTCCCCAAACAGCAGCGACTGCCAGAACGGCAAGTCTGCACTGATCTCGCGCAAGTGGTCAAACTCGGAGACTAGGGTGGCTAGTTTTGCATTCACGGCTTTCTGCAGCATTCACATCGTGTTAGTGCTCGGCTTTCCCTCAGTTTCCCATGCCACATCCCATGCCGCAACTTCCCATCCCATCATAAGGAAGCTAGACTGCGAAAATGTTCCGGATGGCCGGTGGGTATGATATGTAAATCATCATCTTGCCTTGAACGCACCTCGAGCGATGTGCCCCGCAGGAGAAGCCTCTCCTCCTCCGTCCACAGGGTGGGAGTCGGGATTTGACGCGGGAGGAACCTGATGTACTCGGTCCATGGGGTAGAGGCGATCCCTTTATGCGAGCCGGCTCCTCCGCCCGCGGGGGCTCTGTAATGGGCCAGCAGATATAACATGATGGCAGTCCTTGGCGTCTTCATCGTTTGCCGTTCTCTGGTGGTAAGCCAGACGTCTCTCCCTCACAGGGTTGCGCATGTTGGGGGAGGACCAACCTCGTGGCCCATGCCTTCAAGCAGCTGTCGGAACTTGTGATCCACCTTTGCATAGTCCCCAACTGCTTCTGCCGACAGGACGGCATCCCGGGGGATCTTGAGCAGTGTTGGCGATCCCTTGTCCGTGTTGGTGAAGTCCCGGTCTGCCACAAACCCTAGACCCTTTCCTTCCACCTGTCCCACCTGGATGCCGTCGAGCTCAACATTGTTGAACCGTGTCCAGGTAGGGAGGACATCAATGGGGAGTGGAGTGGACATGGCCGAGAGATAAACGAGGGCGGCAGTTGGGACGTTGAGGGTTTGATTAGATATGGGAGAGTTAACCGCGGCTATGGAAAACCAAGTTCCATAGCAAGATCTACATGCTACCTACGCTCAGATCCAGCGTCGGAAAATTAAGCGCTCCCCATCAGCCCTGCCTATCGATTATCTGCCTGTGAAAACCTAATCTGTTCAATCAACTGTCGTACAATTCATCCCTTGTCCTTGTTCTTTTTTAAAATGCATCTTCCTGGGCAATGCTACTTGGCCATGTGCTTCTCACGGCCAAGCGGGCGGCCACACTCAATGCTGGTGGAGTACCACCACCACTACCGACAGCCTCTATCTTATCGCGTATCCAATATTGAAAATTTCTTGTGACGTCGCACACGCGCTTCAATTCACCCCGCCATAGAGATAAACCAGCCCAAGCAAGCATCGCATCATCGTACATCGAAGCAAGCAGGCCGCCGATAGATCCCAAATTCGCCTTGCATTCGTCCTAGATCTAATGGCCCAGCCCAGTGGCCCAGCATTGTAATACATACTTAGACCCCTCCGTACTCAAATCTCTCTCTTCTCGACGCCGCCATGCCCCGCGATCCCCTCATTGGCCTCGTCGGCAAGCCCTCCGCAGGCAAGAGCTCCACCCTCAACAGCTTGACGGATGCCTCGTCCAAAGTCGGTCGGTAGTCTGCTCTACGTCCTTGCGTTCCAGGTGAACATGTCCGGGCCAGGCGCGCTGATATCTTCTTAGGCAACTTCCCGTATGCGCCTCCTCCCCCCTCCTGCTGTTGGAAGATGACACACTGAACACAAGACGCATCATGCAGCTTCACTACCATAGACCCCCAGAGAGCCATCGGCTACCTCCAGATCGACTGCGCGTGCGCCCGCCACAACGTCTCCGACCGCTGTAAACCCAACTACGGAGCATGCGACGCGGGAAGGCGCTCCGTCCCGATCGAGCTACTCGACGTCGCCGGCCTCGTCCCCGGCGCCCACCAGGGCCGCGGGCTGGGTAACAAGTTCCTCGACGACCTGCGGCACGCCGACGCGCTCATCCACGTCGTCGACGCCTCGGGGACGGTGGACGCGGAGGGTAAAGAGACGAGGGGGTACGATCCCTCCGTCGACATCGCCTGGCTGCGGAGCGAGGTCGTCGCGTGGATCCTGGGCAATCTCATGCAGAAGTGGGGGTCGATCCGCCGGCGGCACATGGCCATCAAGGGCAACGCGGTGGAAACCCTCCAGGGCCAGTTCTCGGGCTACGGCGCGACGTCGACCGTCATCAACCGCACGCTCGACCGCTCGGGCGTCAAGGAGCCCCTGGAGGACTGGAGCGACGAGACGGTGGCGCACATTGTCAATTGCTTCGTGGACGAGAAGTTCCCGACCGTCATCGCGCTCAACAAGATTGATCACCCCGACGCGGATAAGAACATCTCCAAGATCGCCAAGATGCAGGATCCCAAGACCATTGTGCTCTGTTCTGCAATATCGGAGATTTTCCTTCGGAAAATGGCAAAACAAGGCTATATCAAATATGTCGAAGGGAGCGAGTTTGTTGATACAAAAGAAGACCTCATTGAGCAAGGAGACCCGACCGGTGGTGGCCTCAAGGACTTGGACGAGAAGAACAGAAATCGCATTGAGAACCTTAAGGATATGGTACTATATCGATTTGGATCCACGGGTGTCGTCCAAGTTCTTTCAAAGGCGGCAGAACTTTTGGGACTGGTTCCTGTGTTCCCTGTTCGCAATACTTCAACTTTTAGCTCGGGCGCTGCAGAGTCCAAATTCGTCTTCAGGGACTGTGTCCTTGTCAAGAAAGGTTCAACTGTCGGTGATGTCGCCAAGAAGGTGATGGGCGACGCACCAATAGCGTATGTGGAAGGAATTGGGAATATGAGAGTTTCCGAGGACGACTTGGTTGCAGTGGGGAAAAATGATGTAAGTCGACCCTCCCTTGCTCACCTATCAGTCGTTCAGCTGGTTAACGCAAGTCAGATTCTCTCCTTCAAGGTTGGCAGGGGATGAAACCAGGGGAGAGTGTGAAATACTTTTTGAAACTCATCATGTGAGGATATGGGCACACTGATAGGGTCTTAGCAATCAGATCTACTCCGTGAGAGGATAGTCTGAGTGTGTTTCGTCAAGAGAGCTTTGGAAGGTCAAACAAACATCCTGCAGCTCGACCAAATATCTGGCATACAATGTGACGATGCTGATGTCCTGGGACAATATGATACATAGATAGCGAGGGAAACTACCGTGCTGGATATTACAAGTTGGCAAGCCCCTAACACCTTAGGCGAGACACAAGAAGCCCTTAACAAAATGTGAAATGGTTATCAAGGCTCTTTACCAATCCCCATTGAGTCTTTAATCAGCTGTGATCGGTAGTGGCCAGACGCGAGGTGGCGGCCCTGAGACTACCTCTACCCCTACCTGCTCTGCGCTTTTTCGAAGAATATCCAAATCGAAACCAATAGCTCCGCTCTGGTATACAGTTTTCAACTTGGTCTTCTTCAAGATATCCACAATCAGGCCTGCAAAGTCCGTACTTTCGTAGACTTCAGAACGGATCTCCAATGTTTCTAGGTTTGGGAAACTACCGAGGAAGTCGGGCAGCGGCATGTCGCTATCCTTGATGGGGTATTTCCTAAACCGAAAACCGAAGAGGCCAATGTGGCGGATTGATGGGGAGCCGCGGAGCCATTCGTGTTCGATGATACGCTGGCAACTATATGATGCCGCATTATATTCGTCCACGGGACAGTCAAACACAATGTCCAAGGATTCAAGTGACCTGTTTTCGATGCTCGACGCGAGCATTTGGCTAGACGCCAATGAGTCGAGCACGACTTGATCCAGATGAAGTGATTTAAGTTTCTTGAATCGGAACGACGATGTCTCCTGAAGGTCATTGTTTCCAAGGAATTCAAGATCGCCGCGCAAGAAGCTCGATCCCTTGCGGTCTGCGTATATTCGCCCCGTCTGGAATTCAAGATGCTGCATATTTTCCCATTCGTTCATCAAAATAAAGCGAGGCAGACCAGCCAATGAGTCTAATTCAATTTGCAGAAAGTGTGCATTTATGCTCAACACTCGAAGTCGCGGCCAGCTAATTGCTTCCAGGGAGTAACAAGTGAGGGAGACCTTGTCCATGTATAACTGCTCAAGGTTGGGAAAGCAAGCCACTAGTTTTTCCTGGATCAGAAGAGTCAGCTTCCCCGCCTGAACAGTATCGCTTCATCTTGAGAGATTATATCTTACCATTGGATAAGTGCGAGCCATCTGCATACGAAGATGTTTCAGGCTCGGTACTGGGGGACAATCAAACATGCCGTTCCCGGGCTTGGCCATCATCACGCTTGACAGATCCATGGATTGTAGGCTGTTACAATTTGCAATGAGCAGGTTTCGAGGGAGTTCATAGTGTGAGAGAACTAGATGCTTTAGTGATCTCGGAGCATTCTTCGACGCTGGGTTCTCAAGATCAATAGGTTCAGCTTGATGATGAAGCTCGAGATACTCCAGCTGGCGTGCCCCTCGGAGAAACACCCGGAACTTTGACTGCGTAAGAAAAAATCTCGCCGCATTTCCGATTAGGAGACGGCGGGCGTTATCTCCAGAATAAGAGAGTAATTTAATGATTGCTGCTGTACTCGGAGCTCGCTGTGGCTTTGTAGCAATGAAGTTCAACTCCCTCCACAAATGGCGGTTTCCTGGACCAGTCAGAGAACGTCTCCAAGACTTGGAAACAAGGAGGCACCGTCTATTTTGGTGGTCAGCCAAAGCATTGCATTTTGGTCTATAAGAAATAAATAGTAACGTACAGCAACGACAGAAAGTCGAGCCTCGACAAAATGAGTTGCACAACATCCAGAGGCAATTGGAAGGGATCATGTCGAAAAAACTTAGCATGGAGAGGCTTCCGAGCTTCGTATAGTTGCTACTCAGTTGTAAGCCCAATATTCATTGTCCCACCCATATAGAGGACTAACCTTGAAAGCACGGGAGTTGCCTGTCTCGGTCGATGAGCAAGCATCTATGCCCGCATTGAAGACTTTCCACGCGAATTCGTTCTTCTTCTGCAATCGAGCGATTTTACCCAGTCGCAGATAACCCTAAAAACAAGTCAGCTCAAGATCTCCCCATCGCAAAGGCTATGTAGTCGCCATACATCAGGAAGACTGGGGGCGAGCTCCAGGATCCACTCAGCGTCCTTCCTGGCACGAACAAGTTCGTTCATGGCCTCGAACGTAGCCGCGCGATAATTGAGAGCCTGGATATGAAGCGAGTTGTGGCACTGGTTAAATGACTTCCCAATCTCACAGGTGCATTTCATCGCTTCCTCGAAAATGGAACCGTTCCGAGACGCGACCTCCTCGAAGTTTTTGCATGTGCACCTCGCACGGCGAGTACCATTTGTACAGGAGCAACGGTTCATCGCCTAAGGGAGAGAATTAGCTCTTTGATCGCACGCTGTTTGGGAGTCTCTCAGTCATACGCGTGTGAAGCTCTCCAATGCTGGCTTGTATCGTTTAGAAGCGTAGTGCCGACGGCCTTCAGTCACCAGGACCTCAGCTGTCGGGTTGCGGTCTGCAGACATTCTGATGCTGGTGGTTGGAAGTGACGAAGTGATGCGATTATTTGATTCTGATATGAGTCCAGAATTCCACAGAGAAATTTTGTAACGGCCTGAGATGAAATTCTCTATTCACTGATGACTTGGAGTCGCGTCGCGTTGTCTCAGTTTTAGTGGACACCCGGTTTAAGGGTAGTGGCGATTTGTGCATCAAGCCTTCCTACCTCTTATTATAGTGCATTTTATGTTCACGTACACACCCAGCACAGGAACCCATCACAAGTCCAATGGCCTACTTGCCGAAAAAGAAAAAGAAAAAAGAAAAAAAAAGAAAAAAAGAGAAAGGAAAGGAAGGAAGGAAAAGAAAATAGCAAAAAAAGAAAAATGCTTCTGCTCGTATTCAAACCGAGGTCCTCTCCCGTGGCCCTGTCATGTACTCGTTCTCTTGACTTACCGTAGGGGGATACACCTACATTCGGTCTTCTCTTCAGCGTCAGTACACCACAGGGAAACCGCACGAGAGCGCGCTGACCACTACGCCACAGGGGCTATTGTTCTTGTTGAATGAGATCTCCGGGGAATTTGTATGTAGTTTGTCGCCAAAGTTAATGCCATACATCGGCAGCTGGCAGGAGAACTGCGGTCAAGCACCCGTAGCATCTACCAGCCAGGCAGCATCCATTATACATCGAGGTTTATTTTTAGCATCTACGACGATAGGTAGGAACTATTTGTGCTTTGAGAGAGAGGTTAACAATTTAGGGTCTTGCCCTTGTTTGTAATGGCTTTTCCTTCCAGTCGCTTTCTCTGCCAAGGCCTACCTCAGGATGCAACAAAATATCTGGTCAATTGATCCGATTACGGGCCACCTACGCTATAAACTAGGTAGATGTTGTTCAGTATCAACCATTCAAATACCGATTGTCGGTTTCGTTTAATCGTAGTAGCCATTAGATGCCCCCAATAAATCTTGTCCGGAAAACTCCAAGAATGCAGCACACTGCCATTAAGCTACGATTGCGCGGCCGTCAACTTTACTATGGCACACATGAATCCTCGTGCACCATTGCTAATCCAGCATGCCTCTCCCTCAACAAGGGATTCGACACTTACGGATTCTTCCACTGCCAGACCACTGTCAAAGCATCATCATCATTAGCTTGCAGACACCTTTGAATACCCTGGGGCGATAACAGAAGCTCGTAACGTACCGGTCCAATGCCCAACGTCTTGACACACCGTCCTGGCCTCCGCTCCCTTCAGCATCGTGCAACTCTTTGGGAACTGGCGGGGTCACCCATCTACCACCCCTGAAAAAGTAGGGTGTGGTTATACTCCCTTCCATTACATAGCCATTACCCTCATTCACAAGGAGCACCTCCACATTTTCCGAAGGTGTAAGTCGAGCTCGCTGGCGCGCTGCATCATACACGTCTCTGAGTGTGGTTTTGAACCGTGTATGGACAGAGCTTTTGGTCCTTTCCCGGTCCACTACTAATGTGTACATGGGCGTTGTTTTGGGTCTCCTCTCAGTTTCTGGAGGAGCTGGTCTGGGTGCCTGGTCCAACGACTCTGGGAACAAATTTTCCAATCCAGTGGCAGAAATGTCATATTTCTCCATATGAACTGACCCCTCAGGAGAGAGCAAGATCCTCAGACGAAGGGGCGTCTCTGGACAAGGCCCGACGAAGTTATCAATTTCCTTTGCAAATCTGTCGACATCGAGATGTGTCTCCAGAGCCTGGACTGCAGCCTTCCATCCAAAGTACTTGGCGCCCTTCAATAAACGTTTGTGGTGATAGTCCCACATGTATATGGGAGACTCTTGATAGAAATTCCATCCAACATAATCCCCGGGAAGCTCCCGCACATGGAGAAGTTGCTTATCATAGCGGGGGGTCGTCAGCAGATGGAATTGAGGTGCCATGGCATTTCGAATAAGCCTTGGGTTAGATAGACAGGCGAGGGCTATGTGAAAGCTCTCTGATTTGCAGTCAGTCTCTCCAAAACCCCACTACTATTTTTATATGCGGATACTACCTAGCTATTTAGGCAGACAGATCCATACATGTAGCTTAGGTTCAGTATGCGGGTATACGATAGGTGGTTGGCACGTTTCCGCGTGTAGCAAGCGTTGGGCCAGGGCACCGGCCATTGGACAAAATGAGATGGTGACGGCATGAACTTGTAGTTGCCTTAGTCAGCCGGCTCAACGTGCCTGCCACAGCTTCAAGCAACGCAAACGACCAGCCGCCTGTCCCTGCTGAATTGGATCTGGTATGCGATCAAAATACCCCTCCTTCCTCCTAGACGCTTGCCATTGTTCCCTACCGACCTACCCAATTGATCCCGTGCCATCCCAGTATTTGAAAGATGTCGTATGATCTACTAGGTCCAGAGCTGAGGGAGCCGGGGTTAGGTAAGCAGGTCGTGATGTAAGGCGAGG